AAACTGGTTTGAATCCGGGTTCAAATCCCCAGTTTCTAGGAGGAGGAAAGTGATTTGAATCCGGATTCAAATCCGGTTCAAGTCTGGAGGGTCTGGGTTCGAGTCTGGGGTTCCGGGTTCAAATCCCCATCCTTAGGAGGAGGAAACTGGTTTGAATCCGGGTTCAAATCCCCAGCTTCTAGGAGGAGGAAACTGATTTGAATCCGGATTCAAATCCGGTTCCAGTCTGAAGGGTCCGGGTTCGAGTTCTGGGGTTCCGGGTTCAAATCCCCAGTTCAAAGGAGGAGGAAACTGGTTTGAATCCGGGTTCAAACCCCCAGTTTCTAGGAGGAGGAAACTGGTTTGAATCCGGATTCAAATCCGGTTCAAGTCTGGAGGGTCCGGGTTCGTGTCTGGGGTTCCGGGTTCGAGTCTGAGGTTCCGGGTTCAAATCCCCAGTTCAAAGGAGGAGGAAACTGATTTGAATCCGGGTTCAAATCTCCAGTTCCTAGGAGTTTCTAGAAGGAGGAAACTGCTTTGAATCCGGATTCAAATCCGGTTCGAGTCTGGAGGGTCCGGGTTCGAGTTTGAGGTTCCGGGTTCAAATCCCCAGCCTTAGGAGGAGGAAAGTGGTTTGAATCCGGCTTCCACCCCCCAGTTTCTAGGAGTTTCTAGGAGGAAACGGATTGGAATCTGGTTTGACTCCGGTTTGACTCCCCTTCCAGGCTCCTACGAGTGCGGGATCTGCGGCAAGAAGTACAAGTACTACAACTGCTTCCAGACCCACGTCCGGGCGCACCGAGGTAACGGGTTCGAGTCCCGATTCGGGACCCGGGTTCAAACCGAATCGGGAATTATTATTATTATTATTATTATTATTATTATTATTATTATTATTATTATTATTGATTACTCATTATTATTATTATTATTGATTACTTATTATTATTATTGATGACTTATTATTGATTTATTATTATTGATTACTTGTTATTATTATTATTATTGATTACTTATTATTATTATTATTGATCACTTATTACTATTGATTACTTATTATTATTATTATCATCATCATTATTATTGATTACTTATTATTATTGATTACTTATTATTATTGATTACTTATTATTATTATTATTGATCACTTATTATTACTATTGATTACTTATTATTATTATCATCATCATTATTATTGATTACTTATTATTATTGATTACTTATTATTGATTTATTATTATTGATTACTTATTATTATTATTGATCACTTATTATTATTGATTACTTATTATTATTATTGATTACTAATTATTATTGATTTATTATTATTATTATTATTGATTTATTATTATTGATTACTTATTATTATTATTATTATTATTACTATTACGGATGATCTACTGTTCTCATTAACGCTCCTTATAATTCGTTTTTAAAATTTATTATTATTTGTTTTTAAAACATGTTGTTGTTATTGATTACTTATTATTATTATTATTATTGATTACTTATTATTATTGATTACTTATTATTATTATTGATTACTTATCATTATTATTATTGATTACTTATTATTATTATTGATTTATTATTATTATTGATTTATTATTATTATTATTGATTACTTATTATTATTATTATTATTGATTACATATTATTATTATTGATTTATTATTATTATTACTGATTTATTATTATTATTGATTACTTATTGTTATTATTATTGATTACTTATTATTATTATTATTATTACTATTACGGATGATCTACTGTTCTCATTACCGCTCCTTATAATTCGGTTTTAAAATTTATTATTATTTGTTTTTAAAACTTATTATTGTTGTTATTATTTATTATTATTATTATTATTATTATTATTATTATTATTATTATTATTATTCCTAGACACGGAAGTGGCGTCGGGCGAAGGTGCTTCCCAAGGCAGTAAGTATTGGCCCTGAGGTTCATCCAGACTGACCCCGAATCTATTATTATTATTATTATTATTATTATTATTATTATTATTATTATTATTATTATTATTATTATTCATTAGTATTAGTAGCCTTATAGCTCATAATGAATATAATTATTAATAGTAATATTATTAATACTGCTTAATATTACTGTTAGAATTATATACATAAAAACCTAGAACTTAATAAACATGAATGCTATTATTATTATTATTATTATTATTATTATTATTATTATTATTATTATTATTATTATTTATTGTTATTATTTATGATTATTGTTGTTAATAATAATAATAATAATAATAGTTATTAGTAGCGTTATAGCTTATAATGAATATAATTATTTATTATTATTATTATTATTATTATTATTATTATTATTATTATTATTAGTAGCCTTATAGCATATAATTAATATAATTATTAATAGTAATATTATTAATACTGCTTAATATTACTGTTAGAATTATATTCATAAAAACCTAGAACTTAGTAAACATGAATGCTGCTATTAATAATAATAATAATAATAATAATAATAATAATAATAATAATAATAATAATTAGTAGCGTTATAGCATATAATTAATATAATTATTAATAGTAATATTATTAATACTGCTTAATATTACTGTTAGAATTATATTCATAATAACGTAGAACTTAGTAATGCTGCTATTATTATTAATATTACTAACTAGAACTAATAAATATCGGTCCTCTTTATTATAACAAATAATGTTGTTGTTTATTAATATATTAATATTGGTATATTGATATTATGGCTGGAATCCAGCCTGACCCGGAATCTCCCCAGATGAATATTAATTATTAATTAATATAATAATAATAATAATAATAATAATAATAATAATAATAATATAGTATTAATTAATACTATTATATTATAATTCTATAGAAATGTTATATTATAAATAATATAAATAAATGTTATATTCTAATATAATTCTAATATAATTCTAATATAATTTTATTATATTATAATTCTATATTAATACTGATAGGAATAAAAATATTATTTGGGAAAACTCGGACAGATGGGCAGGATATTTATTATTATTATTATTATTATTATTATTATTATTATTATTGCTTACTACTACTATTATTACTATTATTAATATTATTAATTGTTAATTATTGCTATTTGTATTAATATTAATAGCAATATTATTAATCCCATTAATATAAATCTTTATTATTATTATTATTATTATTATTATTATTATTATTACTACTGCTATTATTATTACTATTATTACTATTAATATTATTAATTGTTAATTATTGCTATTTGTATTAATATTAATAGCAATATTATTAATCCCATTAATATAAATCTTTATTATTATTATTATTATTATTACTGCTATTATTATTACTATTATTACTATTAATATTATTAATTGTTAATTATTGCTATTTGTATTAATATTAATAGCAATATTATTAATCCTATTAATATAAATCTTAATTCTTAATATATTATTATTATTATTATTATTATTATTATTATTATTATTACTACTACCAGATCTCTTTTGAGGGGGGGGGATCTCCTGGGAATCCGCCGAATCTCTTTCTTTCCACGTGGGCAGCATATTAAATATTATTAATAATAGTGATAGTAATTATTATTATCAGTATTTATCAATATTATCATTTATTACTAATATAGTTAGTGTTTATGGTTAATAATAATAATAATAATAGTAATTATTAGATGATATGATGATGATGGATGACCGGATCTCTCTTGAGGGGGGGATCTCCTGGGAATCCGCCGAATCTCTTCCTTTCCCGATGGGCAGCATATTAAATAATCTTAATATTAATAATAGTTACAGTCATTCTTATTAATAGTATTTTGTACTATTACCGGATCTCTTTTGAGAGGGGATCTGCTGGGAATCCGCCGAATCTCTTTCCAGATGGGCAGCATATTAAATATTATTCATATTAATTATAGTTATAGTAATTATTATTATTATTATTATTATTATTATTATTATTTTATTACCGGATCTCTCTTGAGGGGGGATCTCCTGGGAATCCGCCGAATCTCTTTTTTCCCAGATGGGCAGCATATTAAATATTATTCATAACAGTTATAGTCATTATTATTATTATTATTATTATTATTATTAATAGTATTTAGTATTAGTATTATTATTATTATTATTACCGGATCTCTTTTGGGGAGGGATCTCCTGGGAATCCGCTGAATCTCTTTCTCCCCTGATCCCGCCAGACAACTTCCGCTACACCTGCGACATTTGCGGGAAGAAGTACAAATACTACAGTTGCTTCCAGGAGCACCGCGATCTCCACGCGGTCGACGGTGAGTAGATCGCCAGGGATCCCCCGGATCCCCCGCTCCGGATCCCCCCTGCCTCCCGGTTCCCTCCGGCCTTTCCCCGGAACGATCCCAGGAAATGATTGGTTAGTACGGATTCGGATCCTGTGGAACGCCCGGCGACTGGATCCCGAGTCCGATCGCCCCCGTGATCCCTTTTCTTGGGATCGGGCTGCGGGAAATTCTGGCGGGGGAACCCGGGATCTGGAGGATCCGGCGGACGGGCTGGGATCCATTCGGACGGGTCGGGACCCGGAACGCCAGGAGGATCCGGGCGGGTGTTCCAGGATCCGGAGCGCTGGGAGGATCTGTTCAGACGGGCCGGGATCCATTCGAACGGGTTGGGATCTGGAGTGCTGGGAGGATCCGGCCAGACGGTCCAGGATCTGTTCGAACGGGTCGGGATCCAGAATACCAGGAGGATCCGGCCAGACGGTCCAGGATCCGTTCGAACGGGTTGGGATCCAGAATACCGGGAGGATCCGGCCAGACGGTCCAGGATCCGTTCGAACGGGTCGGGATCCAGAATACCGGGAGGATCCGGCCAGACGGTCCAGGATCCGTTCGAACGGGTTGGGATCTGGAACGCCGGGAGGATCTGTGCGGACAGGCCAGGATCCGGGGGAACCTGGGAAGGGCGATCCGGGGATCCCCGAGATCCGGAACGACCCTCCCTGCTCTTCTCTTCCAGATCCCTATGACCAGGCCATGGTGGCCAAAGACGAGGTAAAGGAAGAGGATCCGGAACCCTTCCAGAAGATCGGTCCAAGTACGAGGTTCCGGGGATCCGGTTTGAGGGATCCGCCGGCTTTCCGAACCGGCCGGGTCCCTCCGGGAACCTGTTCCAAGGCTGGGGGGGGACGCGGGTTCGAGAGGCGGGATCTGGTAGGGCGGGGAGATCTGGAGGGCGGGACTCGATCCCGGGATCTGGCGGGCTTGTGGGAAAGGAGGGAATGGAGATCCTTTTGTGTTGGATTTGCATTTGACTAAGAAAAAAGGGAAAAGGAATAATAATAATAATAATAATAATAATAATAATAATAAATAATAACGACGATAGTAATAATAATAATAATAATAAAAGTAGTAATAATAATAATAATAATAGATATTAAATATATAATAAATATTAAGAACAGTAATAATAATAGTAATAATAATAGGTATTAAAGGTATAATTGGGATTAAAAGTCATAAAGATTAAGAATAATAGTAATAATAGAGATTAAAAACGATAAGGGATATAAAATAATAGATCGTAAGACATATTAATAATACTATAAGAAATAATAATAATAATAATAATAGATATTAAATATATAATAAATATTAAAAACAGTAATAATAATAGTAATAATAATAGATATTAAATGTATAATTGGGATTAAAAGTCATAAAGATTAAAAATAATAGTAATAATAGAGATTAAAAACGATAAGGGATCTAAAATAATAGATCGTAAGAAGACATATTAATAATACTATAAGAAATAATAATAATAATAATAGATATTAAATATATAATAAATAATAATAATAATAATAATAATAATAATAATAATAATATATTATAGAGGAGCAAAGGCTTTATTCATGGAGGAATAACTTGCGGGACGATTAGAGAGGATGATAATAATAATAATAATAATAATAATAATAATAATAATAATAATGGATATTAAATATATAAAAGATTAATAATCATAAAGATTAAAAATAATAGTAATAATAGAGATTAAAAACGATAAGGGATATAAAATAATAGATCGTAAGACATATTAATAATACTATAAGAAATAATAATAATAATAATAATAATAATAATAATAATAATAATAACAACGATAGTAATAATAATAATAATAATAATAATAATAAAAGTAGTAATAATAATAATAATAATAGATATTAAATATATAATAAATATTAAAACAGTAATAATAATAGATATTAAATGTATAATTGAGATTAAAAGTCATAAAGATTAAAAATAATAGTAATAATAGAGATTAAAAACGATAAGGGATCTAAAATAATAGATCGTAAGAAGACATATTAATAATACTATAAGAAATAATAATAATAATAATAATAATAATAGTAATAAGAATGGATATTAAATATATAAAAGATTAAAAATTATAAAGATTAAAAATAATAGTAATAATAGAGATTAAAAACGATAAGGGATCTAAAATAATAGATCGTAAGACATATTAATAATACTATAAGAAATAATAATAATAATAATAATAATAATAATAATAATAATAATAATATATTATAGAGGAGCAAAGGCTTTATTCATGGAGGAACAACTTGTGGGACGATTAGAGAGGATGATAATAATAATAATAATAATAATAATAATAATAATAGTAATAAGAATGTATATTAAATATATAAAAGATTAAAAATCATAAAGATTAAAAATAATAGTAATAATAGAGATTCAAAACGATAAGGGATCTAAAATAATAGATCGTAAGACATATTAATAATACTATAAGAAATAATAATAATAATAATAATAATAACAACGATAGTAATAATAATAATAATAATAATAATAAAAGTAGTAGTAGTAGTAATAATAATAATAATAGATATTAAATATATAATAAATATTAAAAACAGTAATAATAATATAATATAATATAATAATAACAGTAATAATAATAATAGATATTAAAGGTATAATTGGGATTAAAAGTCATAAAGATTAAGAATAATAGTAATAATAGAGATTCAAAACGATAAGGGATCTAAAATAATAGATTGTAAGAAGACATATTAATAATACTATAAGAAATAATAATAATAATAATAATAATAATAATAATAATAATAATAATAATAATAATAATATATTATAGAGGAGCAAAGGCTTTATTCATGGAGGAACAACTTGTGGGACGATTAGAGAGGATGATAATAATAATAATAATAATAATAATAATAATAATAATAATAATATATTATAGAGGAGCAAAGGCTTTATTCATGGAGGAATAACTTGCGGGACGATTAGAGAGGATAATAATAATAATAATAATAATAATAATAATAATAATAATAATAATAATAAATGGATAGTAATAATCAAAGAGAATAATGATAGTATTGATCGATATTCGTAATTGATATTGAATATAAGAATTAAGAATTATGAAAGGCAATAATAAATCATCGATATTGAAAATAATAGATCCTAATAAAAATGGATCTTGATCGCAATTGATATTAATAATTGATACGAAGAACGGTTGATATTGAGATTAATAGCAATTAATATTATTATTAACTGATGTTTTGATGATAATTGACGGTAATAATTGATAATTGTAATAATAATAATAAATGGATAGTAATAATCAAAGAGAATAATGATAGTATTGATCGATATTCGTAATTGATATTGAATATAAGAATTAAGAATTATGAAAGGCAATAATAAATCATCGATATTGAAAATAATAGATCCTAATAAAAATGGATCTTGATCGCAATTGATATTAATAATTGATACGAAGAACGGTTGATATTGAGATTAATAGCAATTAATATTATTATTAACTGATGTTTTTGGTGATAATTGACGGTGATAATTGATAATTGTAATAATAATAATAATAATAATAGTTTATTAATAATAATAATAATAATAATAATAATAATAATAATAGGAGAGTTGCAGATCGGAAGAGGGCCCAATAATAATAATAATAATAATAATAATAATAATAATAATAATAATAATAATAATTTAATAATAATAATAATAATAATAATGTTTATGGCGATGATAATAATAATAATAATAATAATAATAGGAGAGTTGCAGATCGGAAGAGGCCCCATAATAATAATAATAATAATAATAATAATAATATAATAATAATAATGTTTATGGCGATGATAATAATAATAATAATAATAATAATAATAATAGGAGAGTTGCAAGATCGGAAGAGGGCCCCATAATAATAATAATAATAATAATAATATAATAATAATAATAATAATAATAATAATAATAATAATAATAATAATAATAATAATAATGATGTTTTTGGCGATGATGATAATAATAATAATAGTAATAATAATAATAATAATAATAATAATAATAATAGTAAATCCAGAATGAGACCCCAGGAATCCGGATTCGAATCCAGTGCAAAACCCCAGGAATCCGGGTTCGAATCCACCAGAATCCGGGTTCCGATTTGTGGAAAGAGACTCACTCTGCTCCAGATCCGGGGGATCCCCAGGGATCTGTCTGGATCTCCTTGGGGGATCCCCGAGATCTCACTCCTCTTTTCTCCCCACAGAAACCGGCAGCTCCTGTTTGGGTCTGGGTTTGAACCCGGATTCTTGGGGTCTGGCACCAGATTGGAATCCGGATTCGAATCGGGGTCCAGACCCCAAGGATCCGGGTTCGAATCGGGGAAATCCAGTTGGAGGAATCCAGAACAAGACCCCAAGGATCCGGGTTCGAATCTGGTGCCAAAACCCCAGGAATCTGGGTTCGAATCTGGTGCAAAACCCCGAGAATCCAGATTCGAATCCAGTACAAAACCCCGAGAATCCGGGTTCGAATCCAGTACAAAACCCCAAGAATCCGGGTTTGAATCCAGTACAAAAGCCCAGGAATCCAGATTCGAATCCGGTACAAAACCCAGAGAATCCGGGTTCGAATCCAGTACAAAAGCCCAGGAATCTGGGTTCGAATCTGGTGCAAAACCCCGAGAATCTGGGTTCGAATCCAGTCCAAAACCCCAAGAATCCGGGTTCGAATCCAGTACAAAACCCCAAGAATCCAGGTTCGAATCCGGTGCAAAACCCCAAGAATCCGGGTTCGAATCCAGTACAAAACCCCAAGAATCCGGGTTCGAATCCAGTGGAAAACCCCAAGAATCCGGGTTCGAATCCGGTGCAAAACCCCAAGATTCTGGGTTCAAATCCGGTACAAAACCCGGGAATCCGGGTTCAAATCTGTCAAGATACCCCAAGAATCCAGGTTCAAATCCAGAACGAAAGGCTGATAATACGGGTTCAAATCTGGAACAAGACCCCAAGAATCCAGGTTCGAATCTGGTGCCAAACCCCAAGAATCCGGGTTCGAATCTAGTGCAAAACCCCAGGAATCCGGGTTCGAATCCAGTCCAAAACCCCAAGAATCCGGGTTCGAATCCAGTACAAAACCCCAAGAATCCAGGTTCGAATCCGGTGCGAAACCCCAAGAATCCGGGTTCGAATCTGGTGCAAAACCCCAGGAATCTGGGTTCGAATCTGGTGCAAAACCCCGAGAATCTGGGTTCGAATCCAGTCCAAAACCCCAAGAATCCGGGTTCGAATCCAGACCAAAACCCGAGAATCCGGGTGCGAATCCGATACAAAACCCCAAGAATCCGGGTTCGAATCCGGTGCAAAACCCCAAGAATCCGGGTTCGAATCCAGTACAAAACCCCAAGAATCCGGGTTCGAATCCAGTACAAAACCCCAAGAATCCGGGTTCGAATCCAGTGCAAATCCCAAGAATCCGGGTTCGAATCCGGTGCAAAACCCCGGGAATCCGGGTTCGAATCTGTCAAGATACCCCAAGAATCCAGGTTCAAATCCAGAACGAAAGCCTGATAATACGGGTTCAAATCTGGAACAAGCCCCCAAGAATCCAGGTTCGAATCTGGTGCCAAACCCCAAGAATCCGGGTTCGAATCTAGTGCAAAACCCAAGGAATCCGGGTTCGAATCCAGTGCAAAACCCCGAGAATCCGGGTTCGAATGCGGTGCAAAACCCCCAGAATCCGGGTTCGAATCTGGTGCCAAACCCCAAGAATCCGGGTTCGAATCCGGTGCAAAACCCCAAGAATCCGGGTTCGAATCTGGTGCAAAACCCCAGGAATCTGGGTTCGAATCTGGTGCAAAACCCCGAGAATCTGGGTTCGAATCCAGTCCAAAACCCCAAGAATCCGGGTTCGAATCCAGTACAAAACCCCAAGAATCCAGGTTCAAATCCGGTGCAAAACCCCAAGAATCCGGGTTCGAATCCAGTACAAAACCCCAAGAAT